GTTCAATAAAAATCTATTCAAATGCGACTGTAGCTTTTTTCCCCAAAAACTTTGTCTTCAAAATAAGGGTGCATCTTATATTCCGAAAAATATGATAATCATATTCAGCCAGTTGTCAGTTAAAGTTGTTTCTTATAATTCAGTATTTATTATGCTATGTATTTATTAAGTGGATGCTGCAGAGCACAGTCTAGTTGAAATATTAGTGATTCATCAGTCTAATTTTCAGTTATATTCAATGTAAGATATTGAAAAGATGAACTGACCCATTTTGACTAAAATGGATCATTATTACGCATTTAAAAACAAATTGTACATAAATAATCAAGAATTTGTGTAGAATTAGAAATACAAAAGTAGCTTTCCATAATATCAACAATTTTTATCAAGTTTGATAACATATAAGTGAAGTTTCTTATAAAACATCAATAGAGCAATAGTTATAGAACCAGTAAACATTAATAGTTTTAACTTGTGTTTTTAGGTACGAGAAATGGAGATACCAAGAAGTGTTGCAGAGTTGAAACTAAGAGAACATCATGGAAACGTTGTCAATGCTCTTATTGAACTCACTAACTGAATATTTTGACTAATATCTCCTTTTTGTAAATATGTTGCAATTAAATTGCTTTCTGTAGTTTACAGTGTGTTGGTTAATTAATTTAGTATTTCAGAATGTATAAATTGTTACTCATCGTAATAATCCAAAGCAATTATAAATGCATAACTTAAATCTGGTAGACTTACCTCTGAAATACTGTAAGCCTTTTCTTTTTGAGTCATACTCACTCTGTCAACAGCCATGTGACTTTTGGTTCTGAATTTCCATGACAGAATGCATTAGATGCATTATCTTACCCAAAGTTCTCCACTCTCCTATCTTCCATGTGATATATTGTACAAACACCAGGGAAACAACATAAGTTGTTCATTCCTGCCAGTTGACAGTTATTCTGTAAACTTCGCACCTTCATTTGTTCTCCGTGGATCCTGAAGTTAATTTTAGCTCTCATGTTAAACTTTAGCTTCTGCACAGAAAATTATACAACTTCTTCAATTTTTTTAAGATTTGCTCACAAGTTTTTCTAGTGTGCAGGGAGATCCCATGGTTGCTTTGCCAGATATCATTGATCAGCGTATTAGTGCTTTTAACATTGTATCACTGTTGATATTCCAGTAAGTTTCCCAATCATGTGGATGCTCAATTTATGGAACATCCACCATTTTATTATGTTGGTAAACAAGCCTGATCTGTTACCTAGATCTTTATTTGAGGAGCAGGATTTGTCCTAATTTTATAGATGGTCTTATTTCACATTTTTCTCGGTATATTAAGTCTTGAACTGATTTCTGTTACACCTGAGAGTATTAGTGTTATGTTAGAGGAATAAATTTTTGAATCCTTGTATCTTCTGCCATCTCCTGATATTTGGGTTGTTGCTGATGCATTGAAAATTCTGTAGAATGTTAAAGTTGTTCACATTTCTCGTATTTATCATCCAGGTGGCCTTTTATGAAGGTTGTCTCATATAACACGTCTTTCTTCACAAGTTCTAGACCCCTAGGTCTTCTTTTTAGGGGCGTATTCTAAGCAGTCTTCTTCTTTTGTCTTCTCATTAGTTTTCTCCCATGGGTGCTGAGGTTTGTTTCATTTCAAGACTTTTCTTCTTCAGTGCAGTTATTGGTTATCAGCTACCCTCATTCACCTGATTCTTTTAACCCTACAGATATAAAGTTGGTTGATTTTGAGCAACCTCGGAACTGTGAAACTATGCATACTATAACTGAATGTACTACTTGTATTTTCACAAAATTTGGCAAGCTTTTAGTAAATGTAAAATTCTGTTGTTTATAAAAAAAATCAAAGTTTTCAATAAAATATTTCTACTGAAGACTTAACTGTTAATTTTCAAAGCCTTTACTGGATTAATCTGAGTGAAAGGTGATTTTCATTCTAAGAATAAAAATACTTCTTTTCGTCTTACAGCTTTCATATTTCATTTGTGCAACCTCTAGAACCTCTTAAGTGAATGTCAGTTGTTTTTTTTAGGTCAAATTTTATATCTTATCTCTTATTCTCTTTACCCTAATACTAGCTGTAGAAAAAATCGGCAATTTATTATTACTCAAAAATAGACAATTAGTGGCTTAGGTCATTTTTGCTTAGCACATTTGCTGCCATGTGCCCCACCAGTGGGTCACAACTGACTTTTAGTTATGGACCTTGTGACACACTAGTATGTCAAAAATAATTATGTTCCAAAGCCAAATTTTTCTTGTGGCATATGACTGGTCCTTGGCATCTCTTGAATGTTTAATTTTATTTATACTTAATTTATCATGTGGCAGCAAACATGTTAATGCAGATTTCCCATTACCACTATTTTTTAAAAAATGTCAAGAAACCTGCTAATAAACAAATCAAAATTTCAATGTGTTCTTATAGGTTTATTCAAAAAACAACTGCTGAAACAAGTATTTTCATTCTAATCATTAGTGCTTATTGTTATGACACTTGAGGTAAAGGGAATAAGGTTAGTCCTCAATACAGAAGTCCAGCTCTCCATCAAAACTGTCCAACTTCATCAATGGTGTTGTCATCTTGAAGGTTCATATTTATATAAGTTCATGTAATGTGTGTACGTGCCCTAACTGTTGGTTGCTACACATGTGCATTGAGATTTGTACTTGTACTCTATCTTATAAATGTGTGGCAACTCATTAAACATTTGCATTGTGAAGTGCTATTTACTATGCAGAAGGAAAAACTGTTTTCCACATTTTCATTATCATATATGACCTTACCTCTCACTGAAATGATTTATGGAATATTTTCAGACAATCATCGGTATTAGTTTGTAGACCTAAATCAATGGTATGTCATGTTAGGGTTAAGGACATTCGAAAGTGTAATATTTCTCAAACAATAAAAAGTATTACTTGCAACAATGAGTAAAAAGGTGCTATGTGCACTTTGGTGTCACATAACACCCTTTTTCACCAGTAAAGTGAAAAAATGAGATGGTAAATCAGATGAAAAATGTATATCTACATGTACATGTAACTACAGAACACTCAATAACTTTTATTTTTTCAAAAAGTTGTTTTGCAAAAATGAACTATCCCACATAGGTCACTTTTATCTCATAAAATACTTCTTTCTCAAGTCCCTTCAATTTTTGTTGAACTTAAGAAGTTACAAGTGCAGCTTCCTTTTTGTTCCTTCTTTTTATTTCATCTTTTTAACAGATGTTTCTCTCACAGGTTGGGTATACTTGGTTGAGGGATCAGTGTCTTTCTGGTACATGGACTCCACAGGAAGTAGCATCATGCTTGTTTAGAGTATCTACCCCTTCTACACTACCATATTCTAGTCGTTCACATAGACAATTCCACAGTGGTGGTATACATCAATAAACAAAACAGTACTCAATTTTACAACACTTGCTTTGCTGCTGTTTCCTTTCTTCTCTGGCATCATTTTCAGCATGTTTAGCTTTGAATATGTCATATTTCAGGTGTGATGAACATTTTGGTGGATTGTATTTCATAAAATCATTGGCTTCTTCCCATACAAAAAAAGATTCCTCACCTTTCTTATTTCAATGAATACGCAAATAGCTAGGTTCTGTGATGATCAGTGCCTTCAGAATGGCAGACAGCCACCTTCTTCCAATCTACTGGGACCAGCTTCATTGGCTTTGTATGCTTTGAGCAAAATTGGGATAATCTCTTTCTTTATGCCCACCTTTTTTCTCTGGTATTAGCCGAGGTCAGTTCCACGAAGTATTGGGTTCTGCTAATTTCTCCATTCTGGCTGACCCAACCATGATTTCCCCTGTTACATTGTCTATCTCATGGGAGAATTTATCCAATTACCATAATGATGACATCTATATTATTCTTGAATAATCCATTTTTACATCAGCATTTGTTGTCTGTGGTTTCAAAGAGGGTTATTTTTCAATCTTTTGTCTAAGATGCTAATTCTCTTCCTGGGTGGCTTAAATTCTAGCTCATTCTTGCTGACATTTATCTCTTATTGTCTTTCAATCTCATTAGGATATTTCTGGAGTTGATGAATTCAACATTCCAAATCTTGCCTTTCTCTATCTCCTTAATACATTGCTTTTTCTTTTCTTCAATTTATTTCATGAACATGGCTATAGCAGGTTATAGAGAGAGCTGCATTATCTGCCTCCTTTCAATGCCATTTGAGCCATCAATATATCTCTCTTTTTTTCCCCATTTTTACACATCTTTTCCAAGCTTTACATTTATAGCATTCCATTGGACATTGTCCAAAGTGGTCTTGAATTTAATCTTATTCTTTTTTTTCCTCCTTTCAACTCTTTGTGACTTGTTCATCCATTGTTTTTCATCTTTCCTCAAGACATATTTTTTTAACTTTGCTTTCATCAGTTAGGAGGCCTTAGGTATCATTGTCCTCAATGCAGCATGTACTGTATTTTCTCAGAAGATTCTAAACTTGTATTCAGATAGTCTTCCTAACTTAACAGTGCATTTCAGATTTCATCCCACTAAATTCAACATTTGATGATGTTTTTGGCATCCTGTTCACGGTACCCATTGGAGAATGTTCAGCAGGTTAGTATGTAGACAATTCAAAACACATCTTTATTTTTTTTACTCACATCACATTGCTGTTTCTCCAGCTACAGGATACTGTTTCCCTACTTTGGTGATATACCCCAAACTGGGTGGAATCCTTGACAAGTTCATTTACACTAATAATAATAATTTTAAAAAAACTTCCCGGCCTCTCTCTCTTGTAATATAAGACTGTGTATTTAGGTGATTTTGTCCAGTCAGGACTCTTATGTTTCCTTTCACTTTTGTGATCCTTCTAGACTATTTCACCTACTATGCTGGGGCTATGTGAGAGGATGATGCTCTCTGTAAGTTGGCAGAGGATGCCATCTGGTAGTGGATGATGGCTCAGTGGGCACTTTTTCCCATCTCCACATGCACTTCCTTGTGTAGCATTTTGAAACATTGAAGATGTGACAGCATTTTTCAATTGATGTTTTGTAGCTACAATCAAAATATGGCATACAATACAGCTTCATTTTTACCTTCTATTATTTCCTTATATGGTATTTATTTTATATTGTCCTTGAATTGTTGAGCCCGTCCTTGGGACCATCCAGCTCTTTTCCATTCTCTTTGAGTGCTTGCTGATTAGGCCAGTTTTATAACTATTAACCTTTTCACTTTTGGACTATGAGGACTTTAGCCTCAGGAGTATCCAGTTTCTACTTAATTACTGATTTTTTCCACTTATAATCTTCTACTAACAGGTAGAGGAAAACACTGTTTTCTTTCTCTGGGTACCTGTCTAACTACCACCTGGGACAACACCTACGTATGTGCATGGCTACCCAGTTATCTCCATACTGCCTGACCACCCCTTTATATTTTGATTAAAGTGTCTAGGGCAAAGAGATACTCTGCTTAGAAGAATGTTTTCCCTTCAGAAACTGCACCATTTTTGTCCAGTTTCTTTAGAGGCTAGGCTTTTCTGCTTAATTCTTCCAGATAGATTCAGTGCAATAACCATTGCTCTGGTTATGAATCCTTCTTAAACTTTACTTGATCTTAACATTCAGTGTTATTGTGGT